ATACTAGAAAATGGTAACAAAGGCCAGGCAAGGTGATGCATGCTTGTAATTTCAGCCACTCAGGAGACAGAGATAGAGTACAGTGGATCCAGACCAGCTCAAGGAAAATGTAGCTAAAAATCTGTCTCATAAAGAAAGGTGGGCATAGCATGACATTTCACACCTGTAATCCTGGCTACATGAGAGTTAGCGGTACAAGGAATGTAGTTTGCGGTCAGCCTGGGAAAAAAACAAAAGACTATCAGATAAAATAAAATCACAAAGTAAAAATGGCTAGAGGCATGGTTCAAATGATAAAGAATCCTTGCTTAGCAAACATAAAAACTTGAGTCAAATCTTCAGGATAGCCAAAAATAAATAAATAAAATAATGCAAAGAAGGGAGGAAGAGTGGGAGGGTAGCATGAAGGGAAAATAAATTGTTAGAGAAATCTGAACAGATTCTACAAATAAGCAGAGCGGAAGATACTTACTTCCCATACTTGGCAGATGAGTTTCTTAAATAATGAAGTAGGTAAAATGTGCCATGCTTATAGCTATCATTTTATTTTCCAGGAATCCTGTGCATTCAATATAGATGATGATAGAATGACCATAATAACAGGGGATGGAAATCATGTATCATCTTTATAATATGGACTTTGACTCATCCATGTGAATCTGGTCTAGCGCTTGCTAAATGCCCAATCTCCCCAAAACTTAACAGACCAACACTTTAATATGTGACACCAATTCCTGACAAAAAGGTAGATGATCATCCAGCTGTCAGTACCAAGTTGATTCCACTGTACCTTTTCCATTATGGATAAAGCAGTAGTACTTTGTCCCCGTTTGTGTATGTATTTTGGTGTGCAGTTTTATTTTCTTTTTATAGTAATCTTGAGTTAATCCTAAAATCTATGGACTTAAAATATGCCTCATTCAACATTATGGTAGAGCACAAATATCTAGTTTAAATCAACAAATCATTGTATAGCACATGAAGTACAGCAGTGGTTTTGTGGTATATAGAAGCACTGGTCTTCTTTTGCCTTTTTCTCACTGAAAGGATGGTAGAATACCTTTTGGAACAGTTACCTAACACTATCTTGCAAGAGAAAGTCATGTCTACCAGAATTCTGGATATATTGTAAATATGGAGTAAATATATGGTAGTTTTCCCAGAGTCAGGATTTACAGACCTGGAAAACAATAAATAAATACAGGAGTGGTTCATCTCACTATTTTCTTTAGCAAAATATGATCTATTAGCAAAATATGTTTTCTGTTCCCAAGACTTTGAACTTTACTGGACTATAGAGATTTTAGGTTTCTACTAGGCACCATAGAAATTAAGTTGGAAGTCAAGAGTGCAACCCTGACGGGGATTCTGTGTCTTCTTTTGGGAAGAAAGAATCTTTTTAACTTTATTAACGCAAGTTACATCATTTTACATAGAAGCCTGTTTCACTATTGTCTTCATGTGAAAGACATTTACGATCAGGATGTGCACTGATGTCAAACTGCACAAGTGAGCTTGCAGTAGCTTTCTATGTGTTACCTTAGGTAAGCTTAAACTACTTTTTTCTAGGTGTTAATCTGCTCTGTTTGACTCTGTCGACTGCCATGCAATTCCTTTAATTTGGTCTTTGTTCTGAGGGGGCCCAGAAGATGGTAGCACATCACGGTAGGAGTGAGTTTGTGAGGGAAATTTGATACACCAAAAGGAAGTTCAAATGAGATTGATGTCCCACAATCCATCCCAATAACTTGAGTGCCTCCTACTAGGCACTGCCTTCTAAACGTCCCCCCAGTTTCCACAGTACAACTTTGGAGACAAAGCTGTAATATATGGATCTTTGGAGTGATATTAACCATCCAAGCCATATGCTTCCCTCTCTAGTTTCAGGTTGGGATTGACCACAGAGAAAAAGGTATGAGACAGGGAATGTAGACATGAAACTCATTTTATATTTTCAATGTTGTTATAGAGCACTGACCATAATAGCAGCTTCTGTAATTTGTTACTTGTCTTCTAGCTTGCTTTGTTGACAAGAAACAATAAATAGCTATGCAAAAATCCCACTAGTTCTTTTCCTTCAGCTCTTTCTGACTCCTACATCAGAAGAATATTCAGCCCTATGGTAAAGAATACTAACTTCTCTGTAGATCATCCACGTTATTTTAGAGACAATGACAAAATGGCATAGGTTTCAATTAGTATTCATGATTTTATTTCATTCCCTTCTATTTCTGTTGGTCCTAGTTTACCATTACTTCTCAGCTAGCTGTCTTCCTTTACACCAGACATAGAAGCAATAGCCTTGCACAGGCTTCTACATCAGCTCCCACCACTGTATTTATTCTAATTCTCATTAATTAATTCTAAACTACTCATATTGGTTCTGTCTTCCTGATTAAACCCTGATTCAATTTTGTAAGCACAGCATGCAAAAAAAAAAACCTACAAATGAGTAAGACATATAACCAAATAAAAATGGCCCAAGAAACAAACAGTTAAGTTAAATAATAAGGAAAAACAAAACTATGAGGCTGCACCTCATTAAAAACCAGAGCAATAGACAGTAGAACATGAGCTACTATTTGTATTCATTAAAGAAGTAAATATTAACATTTCTGATAACTCTAACCCCTTTGGAGAATACACTGACAAAGCTTAATATGGACATTCCCTAAAACCTACTAATTCCATATGTAGAAAGAGCCTCAGAGGAATTCACAATAAAACCTGGGTGGCATGAAACCCATGCACCACACTTCACTTACAAAATAGTATTTAGATATTAAGGTTTGAGAAACAAACATTTTGAAGTTCATTGACTAATAAGAGAAGGACGTCTCTACTTAACATAGGCAGTCCTTTAAATAATGCCCAATGATTTCTGCCATCAGATAGTCTTAACCTACCCTCATCATAGGTATATGTTTATGTGAGCAAAATGTGGTAGAAATGATAGAATTATCATGTGTAAAGTTAGTAGACTGTGGCTACTGTTTGGGGACCTTGGCTAAAGAGTTAACCAAGAATTCATCTGAATTCTAGGAGCTAGTACTAATATTGTGAATTAGTTGTGGTGAAACTCATATGAGTTTTACCATGAAACTACATTCAACAAGGTTCTGAGGACTTAAGTGTGTTTGGATGCAAATCCTCCCTCAGAGTTGTGCTTCGAGATTATTGAAGCCCTTTGAATAAATATGAATTACTGTACTAGAAGTACTCAGCTAAATCAGGTTCAGATTCCTGACCATTGAAATTCTTTTTTTTTTTTTTTTTGGGTCCGGTCGTGGGGCCTGAACTCTGGGCCTGGGCGCTGTCCCTCAGCTCTTCAGCTCAAGGCTAGCGCTCTACCACTTGAGCCACAGCGCCACTTCCAACTTTTTTCTTTTTGCTTATGTGGTGCTGAGGAATCGAACCCAGGGCCTCAGGCATGCAAGGCAAGTGCTTTACCACTGAGCCACCTTCCCAGCCCCGGACCATTGAAATTCTAAGTTAATACTTTTTTTATCAGTCCTGGAGCTTGAACTCAGGGCCTGGGCATTGTCCCTGAGCTCCTTTTGTTCAAGGCTAGCATTCTACTACTTGAGCCACAATGCCACTTCCAGCTTTTTCTGTTTATGTGTTATTGAGGAATTGAACTCAGGGTTTCAGGCATGCTAGGCAAGCACACTACCACTAAGCCACATTCCTAGTCCTCTTTTTTTTTTTTTTTTTTTGCCTGTTCTAGGGCTCGAACTCAGGGCCTGGTGCTGTGTCTGGGTCTCTTTGTACTCAAGGCTAATGCTCTACCAATTGAGCCAGAGCTCCACTTCCAGCTTTAATGAGTAGTTTATTAGAGATAAGTCTCTCATGGACTTTTCTGCCTGGCCTGACTTTGAACGGTGATCTTCCTGAGTAACTAGGATTACAGGTATGAGCCACCAGCACCCAGCTAGAATTTCTTGAGGTAAAATATAGGTATGGACAAGAAGCCCCAGTGTATGATTACCACACTGGGTGGTAAGTAAGCAGCTACAAAGTAATTTAATGAAGGTTAGCAGGCCTCAAATATTATAATTCTTTAGAAAGACTAAGTAGAAGCCCAACAAAATAAGTACCAGGAAATAGATACTCACAAGGAGGTGGGGAATGGCCCAATGTCAGGGATAGAAGAATGAAGAGGGAAGGAGGGAGATTTCAGGCAATAATTTATTGTATATACCATGGAAATTATAAAAATAAGGAAAAGAGTGGGTCAAAGATGGATGAAGATGTTGAATGGATTACACAGATCAAGCTGTATGGTAATACATAAACTACTTTGTTAAATGGCAAAAAGAAAATCCACATATATCCTAAAATTAAGAAAAGTGAGGGAAGGGGTATGTTGGAAGAGTGCATAGGAATATTAAAAAGAGGTGACATTAGCTGGGCGCTGGTGGCTCACACCTGTAATCCTAGCTACTCAGGAGGCTGAGATCTGAGGATCGCGGTTCAAAGCCAGCCCAGGCAGGAAAGTCCAATAAACCACTAGAAAACTGGAAGTGGAGCTGTAGCTCAAGTGGTAGAGTGCTCGTCTCGAGCTGAAGAGCTGAGGGACAGCACCCAGATTCAGAGTTCAAGCATCACCACCAACAAGAAAAAAAAAAAGGTGACATTGATTAACAGCTACCATATTCATAAACTGCTTTGCATACCTAAAGATAATAAAAAATATTCAAAAGAAGAGATCCAATCAAGTGAGTTCATAAGGTTTATGTGTATGCCCACAGAAGGATACCTAGCATGCCATTAAAGCAGAACACATGCTTTATTAATTCCATTTCAAACATGATATTCATAATCTATGTAATATGCTAGTACTGCCTTAATTGCTTCGATGCACTAAAATGACTATTTGCAACAAATTGTCAAAGTTCAAATGAACTTTATTTCTTTAATTCTTTTATATTTTAATGAACAAGAAAATGCTTACATACCAAATTGGTTTTAAGACAAGTCTATGTTCGAATAGCTAACAATTAATGATGTTTCCAAGTTTTAGGGATAACTCTTCCAACAGGAGACAGGTTCCATTCTACTCCTATCTGTGTAATATAAACAAACCACGAAACAATACAGAAAGAAATTCCACTGGCTAGCACTGCATTGCCATATTTGTCATGAAAATCTGGTGAGTGCTTTAGGTGGCTTGATCTTGCCATCATTTCCTGAATGCTTCGAATGTTGAGATTACTAAGTGTACTTCGGCCCAAACGAAACATTATTCTGAGTGGACTGTATTTGGTCTATCTTGTTGAAGAGCAAGCAACCTGGAAAAAAAGCAGACAAAAAAGGGCAATTGGATTTAGTTCCTCTTTCGCTGAATGTTTTTCCCATACCACTTCTCACAGTATTAGTCAGGAATGTGAGTATTGCTATTATGAGGTCTGGACATGAATTTCAGCTTGCCACTCATTAGTTATATGACATGAATATTTATAACCACTTTGCCTCAGTTCCCTCAGTATCAAACTGAGACAATAATGTCCAACAATGAATCTACAGTATTAGCTTTTGTGTTCATAGAAGTATACAATGGTTTACTCTGTACATAGACTTCAAAAATGGCTAGTTTTCCCTAATTTATCCACTAGTCTAATGATGTACCTCCTTCACCTCTCCTTTAAACTCCAAATTTCCACCAGAGTTACATGGCAACCACAGAGTAAGTTACACCTCTTCCCCTTCCTCCTGTTTTTTCGCTTTCCTGTTAAACCCCCTCCTTCTTCCCTTTCTCTACTTGTGAAACTTACCTTCTCCTTCACACTGGTAAAATTCTACTTACTTTTAAATTATCTCCCCACGAATCACCATTTCTGTGAAGTCTTTTTCAAATCTAGACTGAATAAGCCTTATCTTCTCTGGACTGTCATACTTATAATAACTCTTCTTGTATATCATTTAGTTAGAGGAATTATCTTTTTTTTATAGGCTTTTATTTTAGACCAGTTTTGTGAACAATACAGAGACTTCCAAATATTCTCTACTTACTATATACACACACATCTTACAAACTATCAGTGTCTTTCAACAGGATGGGACATTCTTTACAATTGATAAACCTACATCAATACTAATATCACTCAAATTGATAGCTTATATTAGTGTTCACTCTTAACATTGTATACTCAGTGGGTTTTGACAAATGTATAATGACATGTGCTCACTACTACTGGATCATACAGAGAAGTTTTAGTGACCTAAAAAGAACTCCCTGAGCCAGGTACCTGTGGCTCATGCCTATAATCTTAGCTACTCAGGAGGCTGAGATCTGAGGATCATGGTTCAAAGCCATCCAAGACAGGAAAGTCGTGAGACTCTTATTTCTAATTAACCACCAGAAAACTAGAAGTGGTGCTGTGGCTCAAGTGGTAGAGCACTCTCCTTGGGCTGAAGAACTCAGGAACAGTGCCTAGGCACAGAGATCAAGCCCCACAACCAACCAAAACAAAATACACTTAAGTTTCTTTCATGTCTTTTTAGGACTTCATAGCCATTTCTTTTTTGGCATTGAATGATATTCCATTGTCCAGATATATTAATTTATCCATTCTCTACTTGAAAACAGAAAATCTTGATTGTTCTCAAGTTTGGACAATTATGAATGAAGATGCTATAGACATCGTTGTGCATATTTTGATATGGACATAAGTTTTTAACCAACTGGGGTAAATATTAAAGAGCATGACTACTAGCTAATATAGTAACAATATATAGTATCTAGTTCAGAAGAAACTTCCTAATATGCAGACAAGCTGTACCACTTTTCATTTCCACCATCAACAAATGAGGAAAACATTCAGGCTATCCTTAATAGCATTCAGCCTAAGTGTTAGTGTTTGGACTTCAGTCATTCCAATAGGTGTATAGGTTATTCTATTTCCAGTTCTCCAACAGACATATGAGGTTGAGCAACTTTTTATATGTTTATGTAATATGTATATCTTCAAATCATTTGTCCATTTTCTAACAGGTAGTTCACTTTCTATTGTTTGCTTTAAAAGTACTCTGTACATTTTGAACACAGTCCAATTATCAACTACAACTTCTGTAACTATGACTTCTCCTAGACTGTAGCTTGCCGTGTTACTCTCAAAGAATTATCTATTATTTCCTCTTCTTGTAAATTACAAGTTCTCCAAAGCAAGGGAAAATATTTTCTTGTAAGATAAACTGATACAAAAGTATACAAAGAACCTTTTGAACCTGGATATTAGGTGCATCATAAGAAGCTAAAATAAATATCAAGAACAAGTAAAAAATTAGAAAAATCAGCAGGGTGCTAGTGGCTCATGCCTATAATCCAAGCTTCTCAGGAAGCTAAGATTTTAGGATCATGGTTAGAAGCCAGCCCAGGAAGAAAAAAAACAATGGTACTCTTATCTCCAGTTAACCATCAAAAAGCCAGAAGTGCTCAGAGCTGTGGCTCAAGTGGTAGAGCACCAGCCTTGAGCAAAAATGTTCAGAAACAGCATGCAAGCCCCAAGCTGAAGCCCCATAGAGGCATAGAGGAGGGGAAAATAAGATGTTATACATTTTATAATACCCCAAATGATTTTGTTTTTTAAACAAAATAATTGTTAATTTTTCTTCCTTTGTGTAAGCTATCAACCAGTACTTAGACTTTAGCAATTATATCTGTTAACTGTGGCCCAATGTAGGCAACATATACATAAAAAGGCTGTTCATTAAGAACTCCCAACTCCAAATACTTTACTCACAACATAGAAAACATGACCCTGAAATTCTTATTTCCCATAATAAATAGTACTTTTCAGATTATGACAACCAAATTATTTTCCTCTGAAGTTCAACTATTCAATTTTTTTTCCTAGTAGTCACAAACCTCTCCACCAAAAAGCACCAATTCGAATTGAATTCAGAATTCACTGCAGGTAAAATGGGTTAGTGTATGACAGGTACAGGCCTAATTCAATACAAAAGCACCTAGGTAACATTTACTTCTGTCTTTAGAAAGCACACAATCAGAGCCTAACTTCTGATAAGTAGGATCACTACTAGCGTACTGCTGACTCAGGCCTGCTGCTTTGTAACAAATTGAGTCATTACTCCTAGCCTAATGTGAGCTTGAAACTCAGATAATATACTTTGGTTCCAGTGACATTAATTGTACCCCTTAGTGTTCACTGTTTGACTACTCACATATCTATGAAGCCTTTGTTTTCCATCTACACTAAATTTTCTTATAATAGTGTCTGTGATTATGAATTTTCCTTTAGAAACTCCTATTGTACATACTTAACATTTCATGTGATAATGAAATTCTGTGGTTTTCTCATTCCTTTTATTTCTTGATGACACAAGCAAACCTGTTTCATTTGTCTTTGATTCTACTTTGTATCTTCATTTATGTAACAAATTTAAAAACTAAGAACTTACTGATAAAGGAAATTTTCATATTGTTAACTCCACATGACATATTTCTATAATAAATTCAATGTGATCAGTGTATCCTAAGCCTTTTACCCAAGGAACTAAAATCACATAAAAGGACAAAATAGGTAAAAGCCAATAATATAAGTAAAGGAAACGCTTCTAAGGTAGATGTTTTCTGATGCAAACAGACTATAAAACAGATTTCTCTAGGCACTAAGAACAAAGTAAGGATTCCCTTATGCTTGTGGCAATAAAAGTTCTGTATAAATGTAAAAAATTAAAGAGAGTGAAGCACTCTATGAGAATACAGAGATGATTGATGGTGCCATCTACTTTATATAGTAATGTAGAAGTTCAGCTCAGATCAAAGCAACTTAATACTGGACTTAAATTTAACTGTAATAAGACTTTAATAATAATACTTTTACATCAATAAAGGCCATACAAACAAATAAAGCAATAATTCAGGAAAAATATGTTTTATTGAGTCTATTCCTATGTGTTAAGACACTGTGGCAGGATTTTACACATCTGATGATTATTCTTATTTTACACACATGAAAACATAAAAAAAAGGGAAATGACAGAACAAGATATAAACACAAGTCCTCCAATTTTAAGCTCAATGGATCTTTTTCAACTGTATTGTTTCTTCTTAAAGTACATTCAACTCTGAGCCCTGAAAAACAAACAAAAAAGAACAATATGGTTTCTAGAGATGGCCTGTCCATTGAAAATGATTCTCAACCATCTATAATCACGTACTACATAGTGACCACTACATACCAGGGCTGGGTTCTGGGCCAGTGGTCAATATGCATGCTCTCAAGAAGTTTATGGTACACTTAATGAATAAGCTGTCATAGTACAAGAAAGGAGACAGATTAGAGATAAGCACAAGGTGCTCTTAATTCAGGTAGGACAGCAATTTTCTGTGTGGGTTTTAGAAATTGTCTGGGATCAGTACCTAGACTTGACACTAAAAAATGATTTAGAAATACAAGAAAAATTAGGAAGAAATGTATAGATGAAGCAGCAAAAGCAAAAGCACAGAGAGGCCTGAAATACCCTGGGGACAGGTCAATCTGATTGAGCATAGTAAAACATTGCAGTCTGAAGTGAAGCAGCAAATGTCCAAGAGATAAGCCTGGAGAGAAAAGAAAGGACCAGAATACTAAGGATTTATAAACTTTGCTATGGTATTTAGACTTAATTATACAGGTCTTGGTTACCTTACTGGAAAAAAAATTAGCTGTTACTATGAGTTGGTAAAAATTATTAACACTGAAGTTTTAGTTTTATGATAATATAAAAAGACAAGCAAAAAGCCGGTGCTGGTGGCTCACACCCATACTCCTAACTACTCAGGAAGCTGAGATCTGAAAATCGCAGTTCAAAGCCATCCCAGGCAGAGAAGTCTGTGAGACTCTTACCTACAATTAACCCCCAAAAGCTGGCAGTTTGGCTGTGGTTCAAGTTCATAGAGTGCTAGCCTTGAGCACAAAAGCTCAGGGACAGCACCCAAGCCCAGACTTCAAGCCCTAGGACTTAAAACAAAAACAGAACAAGAAAAAAAGTCAAGAAAACAGTATAAGAACCAAATAATGTAGTTTCTCAGATTCTAATGCCTCTGGTTTATCTTTATTTTGCATTTCTGCCACACTACTATAACAGTTATTTGTCCCTTATCACTGCACAATAATATATGAAGCCTGATATTTAAATAATGTGTTCAGAGGCTAGATCCATTTTCTGATTAAACCAGACATTACTTTTTCCTCATCTATCACAGTGTCTCTATAACTTCAGTTTTCTATAGATGATG